ACAAATGCTACGCGCACTTACGATTTTGACATATGCAAAATTTTGTTTTGCCATAAATATACAAACTCAAGCATACCCTAAACTGAAAATAACTTCCGCGCACAAATGTCAGAAGAAAATTCAAACGTTCAATCTAGAAATTTGCCAGATCACACAATTCGTTCTGATCCGCCATAGCTAAATCTTGTAAGCATCCGAATGCCAAATTACTTACCTGTGCGTTCACTAAATGCTACGGTCTGTAAAGCAACTCAAAAATCTAAGAGATGATTTTTAGAGGGCTAGCCATGCAATCGTGAGATAGTCATTCACTAATAACAAAAAATTTCGAAGATTTGGAGAGTGTTATGGTTTGCAACCCACGAGAAATTTTGGCTGATCAACAACTATTCAAATTGCTGTAAAGTTTCATGCTTGCATGTCAAAGCGAAACTATCATATTTACTAGCCATATACTGAGAGATTTGTTACAACATTACCACTATTTGATTTATACTAATCTCCTAGATTTGTTACAACATTACAACAGAGATTTGTTACAACATTACCACTATTTGGTTTATATTAATTTCCTAGGCTTCTGCTAGCCAACAAAGATTTCCTTTTCCACTTTCGTCTTAGAAAAATGAGTCAACTAGTAGGCATTCTGTAGTCGTATCCTCAATAGAAAACATTTGCTCTACATGATTCTAATTCAACTTATGTTAGTTTTTCTTCGCAAGCTGATTCATATTTGTGCCTAATGCCTTGAGCTTCTTTTTATGAGCTAGAAAAGAGCGGTGATAAATGGCAGAAATTCAGCTAGGTGACGTGCATCGCAAATTATTCATTACGGAAGCTGACGTTTTCCTCAAAACCGCTTAAGAGTACTAGCGGGTTTGTAAGACAAAATTCTCCTTCACATTCATTCTGAATCGTCTTCTTTGTCTTTTCTTTTTATCTCTTGTGATCATCACTCAACCCCGTTGATTTCTTTCTTGGAAGCAGCTAACTTTTGTGAGTCCATCGCGCCATGAACGAGCTGAACCCGGTACTAGCTTTGAATTCGTAATCCCGTTGACCTTAATTTATAAGTCGAGTTGCATGATTCTTTGGCAATTCTGTGAGAGGTAGAGATGAATGAATCAAAAACTTTATTAACCTTATCAGTTTTATTCTATCTTCTAAACGAAGTGTGAGACATGGTGATGATGAGGATGAAATTCGAGTTTATACTCTCAATTAACAAGATTTCGCTGTCCATGGTCTACCGACTGCTCTGCATCTCGAACTAAACGATGAAAATTGTTAATTATGTATGTATTCTCCTCTATCTAATGAATCCCGAGTACTTTATGTGAGAAGTTGTATTTGCTTTCATGAACTGCAAGTGCAGCTCAGTGAAGCTTTCAGTTATTCACTTTCGAACTTCTTCACATTCAGAAATGAAACAGCTTTTCCACACTACGTCTAACAAATGTACTCAATGAACATAGTTGTTTTTGGCCCCTTCAGTAATCTTTGAGAAAAACAGCTTCAATTATAAGTAAAGAGAAACTTTGTAATCCGACACTCGCTCCTTCGCAAATGGCAAATGAGAACGTAAATGTATATGAGCTCAGTGCACGAGAGCTAAACTTCAAGTATCTGCATACTTATCCTGATGATCTCATAAATTTACTGCAAAAAAGTATCCGTTAGGTCAATGTAACTGATTGGGAGAAATTTTTTAAATATCGTGTCTCTTTTAGCCGAACCGAAAAAATGGCTTGTTGTAGTAGCTTGAATTCTGGCTTTTCTGAGAATTACTCTTGTATTAGCTTGAATTCTGGCTTTTCTGAGAATTACTCTTGTATACTTCCACTATCTAGGGGCAATGTCGTACCGAGGGGTGGAGACTACCTCCGAGAATGGGTAGCAAAATTTTTGACAGTTACTAATAAATGTGTTATAAAAATGTGCAAGCGACTTGTTTTATTTTTAAATAATGAAAGTAATTTTTAAAAATTTGTGAAGATTCAAATTAGCCTTGTTAAAAATTTTTGGTGTGACCCTTCATTTGAAATTTCGAGGTCAGTAGCCTACAAAAATCTTGGAAGCATGCGAAAAATTTTCTGCCTCCTCCTCCTCCCCCCCCCCGAATGAAAATCCTGGGTACGGCGCTACTATCGCTTGATATTAGTGTAAGATTATGAGCATTCAGAGATGTTTGCTCTCACATGAGTTTTTTTGAGCATCTCGGCGCACGAAGTGGGATGAAGCGCGGCGATGATTTGAGAAGCCCTCACTTCAGCCACGCTGCTCACGTACGAACCCAACAAATCGAATTTTCGTTAAGAAGCACTTGTGTGAACAGTTGATAATTCGACTGACCCGTTTGATTTTCTGAATCGAGTTGTTTTACATGTTTTTTTTTGCTTAGGTACCAGCAGATAACGTAAGCGTAAATCTTTTTCATATCGCTTTCTTCTGCTTCCTTTTGAGAAGTATTCCGATTTGCAACCAATGCGCTTTTAAATCATGCTATCTGTCTTTCGTGAGCTTATGTGGTTTACATAAATCGCAGCTCAATGCGCTTCTACAATTCGATTTTCTGAGATGGCCCTTCTTCCTAGCAACAGTTGTCGTTAATGTAATTGTTCCTTGCCCGTAAGTAAATTGCAATTTCTGCTGAGATTCATCGCTACTTTGTTCTCAATTGTTGATACTGACAGAAATTTATTAGCTATTTTCGCACTTCCACATTCAATAGCAGTTCTTGTACAATTTCTTCTGCGTTCACGAGCTTTCGTATTTTCGAGCATGTTCTATCACAAAGTTATAGCATTTGCTTCAGCAGGAAATGAATTGCTGATAACGATTCAAAAAATTGTTATAAGATACCGAAGAACGCGTCATGAAAGAATTTTCTATGTGTGTGAGAAGTACTTTAGCTTCTATGAATTTTTGATGAGATTTTTATGCATCTGAATTACTCTGATCATATGACCTAACTGCATGAAAGCAAGCGTGTATATGAGAAAGAGAGGCCACATTACGAACCAAACTTCGCAATCAAATTAGTTCCGAAATCTCTTTCTTCTGTGAGCTCTTCATCTGTGATAACTGCAGGAGGAAAGGGTAACTAAATTTGGAATGAACTTTGAGGCTTCATTATAAGCTTCATAATTTGGGTAATAGCACGTTGTCCGTTAAAGTTAAATTCTGCTTGCTATTACCCTGAATGCTTGTAAATTGATTGTCTACAAGTAAAAAGTACATTTCATAGAAGTTTGAGAAGAAGAACTTGCCTCGCATTGTACGAAAATTCTTGCAAAGCCAAATAAATGGACTCTGAAAATTGCACAAAGCAGCAGCATGTTGTTTCTGATTAAGGCATGCATCCTTACAGTTACAAACAAGGCAATTATGGAGTTTCAAGCTTTTTGGTTAGCTACTCGACCCATAAGACTGAGAGTGAAAAGGCTGTTCAAGCGCGCATATTTCTCTTTCTTTCCAAGATAGGAAAGGGACGGGTTTGTAGATGTGCGTACTTATAAGAAAATATCTTCATCAGAATTCTTGATATAATTATTCCTATATGTTACATAATATATTTTATTCGTAAAACTCTATAGATGCATACATATGAACTTGAATCATAGTCTTTATTGTGAAATATAAGAATCAAAAATTTCAAAGTAATAAAAATTATCATGTTGACTTTTACATATATTGTGAAAATGTTTCAAACCCTACATGATGTAAAAACAGAAATATGGCTTTGCGGGACACATTTGTCAATTTTGAAGTAGCGGAAAGTACGACACGTGTACTACTATACTTGTTTCTGAATCACAATTACGTTCAATTACCATATTTTATCAACTGCGATGGATGGCAAAAGGTTTAGCGCATCTACTTCGGGCTCTCGGATTGTGATTTCTTTTCCATAATGAAACAACAGAACATCAAGCTTCCAAAAGACAAATGTCGTTGATTCATCTGACCGACGGATGCAGGTGTGCGTGCGATTACCTTCTCTATCGACCGCAGCACCTCTCTGACTAGTTGCTACGGCTTGTGCTCTGCAATCTGCTCTTTACTCCATGTCGACGTCATTTCCGTTTCCTTTTTCCTTGTTTGCTTTGCAAGATTTGAATTTCAGAGTGCACGCCACCTTGAAGTTCAATGCTCTCTTGGCTATATTTTCTCTTTTCCGTAAAAACTCTCATTTCCCACACCTCCAACAAGCCATTCAAAGCACTTTGTTGCAGTCTGAGACCAAAAGCCACGTGAGAATGAAGTAAAAACATTAAGAACTTCTAATTTGGGAAGCATCTGCTCGTGCTCTAACAACCCGCCTTTGAGCGCACTGAGATATTTGAAAATATGGTTTCTGACATGAGTTTACTGTGTATGTCTCTAATTTCGCTGATTCTCCTCGGTTCCTTCCTTCCGTGTTTCATAAACGCAATGGACAATCTGAATGGAATTCTTTTAGCTTTTAGAACAACATCCGTACACAATTTCTCAGACTAAAACGAAGTTGCAAGCTGTATTCCAGATTCCTTCAAATACATAGGCTCAGTGCCAACTCCGTCCTCGCCCATTGCGAATTATTCCGCATAAACCTTTTGATTCTTCGAAGTTGAAAAATGAGTGAAGGACCAGTCTGATGACGAGAATTTCGTTGTAAAAGTCCTATTTCAAAGTAAATATGCTGTCAGTCCATATCCTCCTCTATGCAAGTAAAAACCAAATGCATTTGCAAATCCCAATCTCATTCTTCGGCTTGCTGAAAAATGGACATCCAGATAAACTGAAGAAAAGTGCATTCTCGACATTTTGGTCTCATTTTTTGTAATCCAAAGAGGGCTATGAGTCCGCTTGAAAATGTGCAAGGAAAACGAACATTTACAATAAGCGATTCATCAAAAACATTAATATTCATTCTCATCCAATATCAACATAAGAGCTTTGCAGCGCACTTACCAGTTTGTGAATAAATCAGATTTATTAGTCTTTCGTCGTATATCTCAATGCCTTCGGAAAATGATGATTTATACAAAAATAAGATTCATTTCCCATCAGAATCATCAAGTGATTGTGATGCTCTCCGTCTGATGAACATTCATGTTCTGCTTACACTTACACTCGTCACGCTTCCATTTTCAAGCACCCGAAGAGCCAAGAAGAAATCATGGTGAGACATTGTTTCTGTATATTTCGTAGTTGTTGTAGTGAGATAGATTCGCCAGAAAAGTGCAACTTCGTAAGTCCCCCTCCCCCTCTCGGTGAAACTTGATACTTCTCGGATGAGCTACGCTCTGAGACTCACTGTCTCATTCATGCTCTGCCCCAGACTGAATTCAGTTGGACAATTAGGGATAAATCGCTGCTTTTACTCAAATATGCGCATGCTCAATTTTCACCTGCGCGTCACTCAAAAAGTAAATGCATAACTAAAAGGAATGTCCGAACAGCGGGAGACTCGGTAATGATGTGCTGTTACCCTTGAAGTGCATTTCTCCCTTTTCGAAGAGCAGGGTGAATGAAGCAGAAAATCAAAAAGACATTTGCTTTTATCCGATCGGCTTTCTAATGGCGCATAGCATGCAAACCGGGCTATTAGTCCTTTCTTGCATGCGCGACGCCTAAAAAGAATAGACATTGCTGGAACTTTTATGGAACCACATCTCTAATTTCACTATGAATAATTTGAGAAATCAATAAAAATCGTGTACTGGTCATAGCTAAAAAATGTTTTTATTTTTCAAACAGTAAAGAGAAGGATCAAGAGGAATTGCAACCTTTACAAAAATAGGAAACAATTTTCGTTCCAATTTCCATCTATTTCGTTGAATTTTTGAATAATTGAAAAGACAAAGACGAGTTGTGGAATCATAAGTATCTAGCGATCCCATGCAGCTTCTGATTGCTTTGTTACTCGAGAACAGCTTTTTTTGTGGGAACAGTACAATACTTTTTGATGGATGACAAATTTCATTTAGAATCCTGAGTTTGAATTCATTTTTCGTTCATATATCTGGCGTCTCAAAAACGACAAATGTTAACAGAGTGAGAGTCTTCGTAGCCTTTACAATGGTTTAGTGTAGGACGAATGGGATTTGAAGCCAATTCTCGGTTGAACCTAACCGAGAGGGAAAGTTCCTTAGCTGACCGTGGACTTTATACATGACTAGCTGGCTTACCCGGCTCCGCCGTATCCGGACCAAACTTGGCACACATACACTTCGGGCCCCGGCGGGTGTCACAGTCCACTTTTCGTTATCGATCGATGTCGATTTTACCGATTTTTATCGATTTTTTTGCAGAGTTCACCTACAGGGCTAGGAGTTGGCACAGGGGGGGGGAAGTGAGCATGGGGATTCCGAAAACAATATTAGTTTTCAGGATTATCGATTACTTTTATTGATTTTATCGATTTTTTGTAAATTTTGACATGCGAGGCTGGGATTTTGCACAGGGGGTAATCGAGCATGCTGATTACGAACACAATATTAGTTTTCAGGATCGTCCATTACTTTTATCGATTTTATCGATTTCTTTGTCAAGTTTGACCTGCGGGGCTGGGAGTTTGCACAGGGGGTAATCGAGCATGCAGATTACGAATACAATATTAGTTTTCAAGATCGTCCATTACTTTTATCGATTTTATCGATTTTTTGAAAATTTGAGCTAGGGGGCTGGAATTTGGCACAGGGGTGTAATCGAGCATGCTGATCACTCCCCTTGGGGGTGATCAGCATGCTCGACTACACCCCTGTGCCAAATTCCAGCCCCCTAGCTCTCTTTGCAAAAAAATCGATAAAATCGATAAAAGTAGTCGATAATCCCGAAAACCAATATTGTATTCGGAATCCTCATGCTCGATTACCCCCCTGTGCCAACTCCCAGCTCCGTAGGTGAACTCAGCAAAGAAATCGATAAAAATCGATAAAATCGATATCGATCGATGACGAAAAGTAGCCTATGACACCCGCCGGGGCCCGTAGTGTATGTGTGCCAAGTTTGGTCCGGATCGGTTCAGAAATGGAATTTTCTATTCGGAACATACGTACAGACATACATACATACAGACAGACATACAGACAGACAGACAGACAAACAGACATTCAGCTTTATATATAAGATTTGTGTAGGAGAATACTCATTCCCAAATACTGATCCCAAATCAATGCTTGTTATTTGCAAGCCGTTTTTCTGAAGGAAGTTACAAACATTTTTTCAATGAAATTTGCCTAAAGTACCAGTGCTAGTCAAGCTGCCTGCTTTATGCTACCGACTAACATCAGTGACTTCACACCATTGTATTTTGACTGCTTTTGGAGTGTTTTCATGTGGTTATGATTCAGTAAAATTTTCTTCATCTTTAGCCTGGCTATGAATGCCATGAGAGTGTGCCTGAGGTGCTATAGGATTCATGCTGAAATAACGGTGTTTACCCTTGTGTCGCAGCTCATATTAATCTTCCGTGAATGAGGTGTAAGCTGATATGTAGCGTGTGCGCGTGGAGTACGAGGAGCAGATGAAAATGGATAAAACTATGAAAGCTAGGAATGAATTCCAAAAAAAAAACACCGCATTCAAAGATGGCAAAATGTAAGGCAATGATATGCTGGAATCGACAGGCAGCGGTGATTTACTCAAGCAAGAGTACTTAAATGTATCTCTTTCTAAAGCTTAATTCTGTTTATTTTCAATGTTTTTGTGAAAATTCTCAAGTATGAACCCTCATACTCCATGAACCTCAGAACGATGAGCGACTGACGCAACAGTGGTAAGTTCCTCTCTACCCGTCTTACCAGGATTCTGTCATACATCAGGGCTACTGAAGGTGTTACCTTGCTTACCACTGTTGCCACAGTCAGCAGTGTTAGGCTTATAAACACGTAAAAGTATTACGGGTGGAATCCGTATTACATGGTATCCGGATAACACAGTAAAGGAGAATGCAGTGTGATAGAGATAGATTTACAAGATAATCACAAAAAAGTTTTGTTTAGTAAAAGAACCACTTTCGATCGGCACACGACAAACTATCAAGCGTGGAGGGAGCAGATGACGGTGTGCGACCTGCTTCAGGAGTACGACGCTGCTGTACGTCCAAGCGGGAGAACGCCCTACAACAACAGTAGTCAGTTTTATGATGGTTTTTCAGATGTCTCTGAGCAGATTTTTCTCGTCTGCTCTTCTGCTTCGTCTTTCTTATAGGCATGCTTTCAGAAGGCCCTGTTATCGTGACCACAAGCCTCAACATTCGATCCATATCTGCTGTTTCTGAGAAAAATATGGTAAGAGGCTGTAATTTTTCAATATTATTACTGACTTAAGATGAGAAGTTCCCGCTCAAATTTACTGCGTAGGAAGCTTTTAGGTCACCCCCAATATGTATTTTAAGGAGAAAACCATTTTCACATTTCTCTTTAGATGAATGGCATTATTCAGCTAATTGGTATTACTCAGCTAATTTCTTAGAGAGTTATATCAACATGCTGACCTCAAGTTCATATTTATGATGCCCATTATTCAGAAAATGAGGCGCAATATCCTTTCAGACAGCCTGTTTTTTCTCCAACTCCGGATTTCTTTTTGTAAAACTTCTACAGTATCCACAATTAGCTTAGTTTAGGTTGCAACGAGATTTCCAAGAAAATTGGATACATTATTCCGAAATTTGATTGTCCCAATTTGTTCCTAGAATCATGTAACCTCTGTAAAATGAACTTTCGTGAAAGCTGTTTAGGCTACTAATGAAGTAGTGAGAGTTCTTTGTGGGCTACAGTTTACTATAAGTTAGCAACTCGTTTGTAATGGACTAGGGATAAGCATATCCAACTTCGCTTATCAAAAGCAAGAGATGAAGTCTTTTTCTAGAGCATGTCTTTGGGAAGGCTTTTTTCTACATTCCCGATATATTAGGTTGGCCCGAAAGTTCTTTCGCACCAAATTGAAAAATTCATAACATCTGATTTTTCCAACCGATTGGACTGTTTTTATTTTTGTATTGAAGAGTAAGTCATGCTCTTTATAATGACATCTCAGATGCCTACTAATGATCATCTGGTTGCATAGATAAGAGCGATAGAAGAAAATTGGTCAAAATTCGAATTTTTCGTGTACGGTCATAAAAAATCGGAAACTTGCAGCAAAAATCGGAGCAATCAGTATTGTAGGTTCTTTCACCAGCTCTTTCTAATGGCGCAAAGTTTGCGCCGATTGAGCGCCTCTATGAAAAGTTATGATTTCTCTGAAAAATGCCAAAATAAACCAAATTCGCCCTTTTTATATTGCTTGCTCGAAAATTGTAACTTTTTATAGAGACGCTCAATCGGCGCAAACTTTGCACAGTTAGAAAAAGCAGGTAACAGAACTTATAATACTGACTGCTCCGATTTTTGTTGCAAGTTTCCGATTTTTTGTGACCGTACACGAAAAATTCGAATTTTGACCAATTTACTTTAATCGCTCCTTCTATGCAAAAGATGATCATTAGTAGGCATCTGAGATGTCTTTATAAAGAGCATGACTTACTCTTCAATACAAAAATAAAAGCAGTCCAATCGGTTGGAAAAATTAGAAGTTATGAATTTTTGAATTTGGTGCGAAAGAACTTTCGGGCCAACCTAATATCTGCATGGGGTGCGTGGCGTTAGGTACCCAGCCGAGCTGCGGGCGTTAGGTACCCAGCCATTAGTGCTATACACTAAGCCGCGCCCCTTGGTTGCTTTAACAGCGGGTACCTAACGATACATTAAATCCTAGCTGCTAGAACAGCTTATCTAGCTCGCTAAAGTGCTGGCGCTTGCGACCCACAGAAGAAAGATAGTTGAAGGAAATTTTAGAAAATGCGCGAATAAAAGCGCAAGTTTACAACGTTTCTTCAATGCTACTATTTTTTTAACAATTTCGGAAACCTAGAAATTCGGTGATGAAAGTTAGAAGAGAAAGCTTTTATGAGCTAATCTAACCGATAATGTCAGCGGGAATCAAAGAAGTAAACTTTATAGAATTCCAATGAACCAAAATTTTATGATTTTGAAGGAACAAACCATTTCCGGAGATGCTCCTGTCAAATAAGTTGCATGGAATATTCCTTTCACATATTATCATCGGTCTCGTTTTGAGGTGTGAAGTTAAAGGTCGTAACCCATTAGCGTTAATATTGCCACACGATTGTGAACTACACTGTCGTAGATTACCGCTATTAGTTCGGTCATTGCTGAGGCCAACAGATCTATGGGACTTACATTGATAAGTACACCTTTCTAATTCGGGGATTCTACACCTCGGATGAAAATTTCATTGAGCTACTGTGTTTTTTCATGCCTGTGTTCTCTGTAGTGTTTTTTGGAGGACTTCCATATTGCAGTGTTTTATAGTCATTCTCTTTTCTAGCAGCTAGAGATCAATTTATCCAACCAAAGCTATGATTTCTTTTGTAACTCACTAAGAAGTGAAAGATTTCGTCAACCTGTTTCATTTATTGATACACACTCATCCGAAGTTGGCATAGCTCTCTATAATGCAAAATTTTCATTGATTGAAACAGAGTTAGTGGCCTTCCCATTAATTAATGGATATTCACATAGTCCTCCTCAACGTTCCAAATCCTGGCGGCGCCGCGTTATGGAGCAAAGCTACGCCGCATTTGCCTCTGGTATAACCTGAGGGCCCTTTGCGTTGCGTCGCTCCTAATTGTAGTCGCAGAGGAGCTAGCGCTACCGAGCGAATTGCCATTTTCCTCACTCTTCATAGATAAAGAGATCAAAATGTGAATCATAAATGCATTTTAAGGGCAAATATAGAATTTGAGAAGGAAAAGTCTGCAAAGCAAGCCAAGAGAAAGTAAGAGATGAGTAAGTTAATTTCTCTTGGAAACTCATGACGGAAAATTCCTATCCTTTTCTCTACTGATTCTCTTGTTCTACTTCTCTCGAAAATTTTTAGATCAAATCAAGCATTGCATCATCTCAGATCCAGCCTTTGATTCATCCCTATAAATTTTTTTTGATTTTCTTAATTGTCGTCTTCTTTGTTCTCCTTATTGCATCTGTACAGTTTCAACATATTAGGTCGCGGTAATAGGGGATGGCTCAATCCGCTAGCAGGAGCAGCGCTACTCCTGCGCAATTAAAAGCGACGCAACGCAAATGGCCCTCAGGATATACCGCAGGGGAACGCGGCGTGGCTTTGCTCCATAACGCCTGCCCCCCCCAAATCCTGATGACAAATTCTCGTCGAAGCTCTTCTTCCAACTGCTTCCACTTCTCACTGTCAAAAATATAGTTGGAGCAGTTTTTTGAAACAAAATAATATTTCCTGCAACTTATTTGCCAGGAGCGTCTCCAAAAATGCGCTTTGCTGCATTTAAATCATAAAATTTTGGTTCATTGGAATTCTATAAAGTTTACTTCTTTGATTCCCGCTGACATTATCGGTTAGATTAGCTCATAAAAGCTTTCTCTTCTAACTTTCATCACCGAATTTCTAGGTTTCCGAAATTGTTAAAAAAATAGTAGCATTGAAGAAACGTTGTAAACTTGCGCTTTTATTCGCGCATTTTCTAAAATTTCCTTCAACTATCTTTCTTCTGTGGGTCGCAAGCGCCAGCACTTTAGCGAGCTAGATAAGCTGTTCTAGCAGCTAGGATTTAATGTATCGTTAGGTACCCGCTGTTAAAGCAACCAAGGGGCGCGGCTTAGTGTATAGCACTAATGGCTGGGTACCTAACGCCCACAGCTCGGCTGGGTACCTAACGCCCGCCCCCCATCTGCATGTTGCTCAAATGACTATGATGCAAGAAGACGAATGAGCCCCATATATAGAACCTTTTCTCCATTCAATATAACATCCAAAAATTCATTTCTTCTGTCACTATTAGGGCAGGCCAAGTAACGGTAGATATCAAAAATCGAACCAAATTGGAGGAAGTAAAGGAAGCATTAGCGTCACAAGAACTGATTATGATTTGTGAGAATGAATCTGTTGGATAGCTGATTTCTTCTCAGACTTAGGTGAATTTAATGGGAGTATAGTTGTGTAATTCCATCTAGACAAATTGCAGGAGTTTGTGGCGCAGTTTCGATTTCGCCAGGAATGGTTTGACGATCGACTACGTTTTATGGACCATCAGGTAAACAGATTCGGATTTCGTAGGACAGGTCTTGTTGACTTTGTGTTTTAGGGTCCTCTTTCTCCAGAATATCGTAATTTTGAATTTATTCACGTTGCCAGAGATCAACGTTTATGGATACCTGACACATTCTTCCAAAATGAACGAAACGGGTGGTACCACATGCTGGACCAGGTTTGCTTTTGAAAGTTGTTTGAATGCATTCTTTCACCAAGAATCCGTTCGTAGTGATTACCGTCAGTGTTTTTATTTAGAAATTGCGTAAAATACTTGCCTTTCAAAATCGAGCATGTATAGACTCTCGCGTCTCTAAGAGCAGCCTAGCAAAACTTTTTTCATCGTATATACAGGATGTCCCCAAAAAATGTGAACACTGTTTGATCATTAATAACTCCGTTGCTTTCATGTCTTTCGCCGAGCTTGAGGCAACATTTTGTAGGGGAGGTTCAACTTAGATTTGAAATATGGAGCGAATCACCGATCGCTGTTCGTTACTGTAGAATTACGCTATGAACTTCTAGCATATAGATCTACTGTGAAGTATGCCCAGGGCTCGGCACGAGGTGGCTAGTTGAAAATGCAAAAAACAAAGTCCCCCTTGACTTTTGCGAATTTTTACGAAGTCCCCTTTGACCCTAGACCATGGGTCGGCACGAGCTGGCGTCCCGAAATTGCAAAAAATGAAGTTTCATTGTCTTCAATGAAATAACGACATCCGCCACGAGATATTCGAAGAGTAAATACATGAAAAGGAACGGAACAAAGCCACAACAGAAAGAAAAAACGAAAAAGAATCATCGAACACACGCGATGATATTCATATTCTCTGGATTGGCGGCGTGATGTATCCATCGTGCAGCATTACGCGCCTAGAGCAGCCTTTCCGCCGCCATTCAAAATTTTCAAGGGGCTATAACTAAGCGGGGAGAGGGGGGTTTGAGGCGGTTTAGGAACCAGTTTGTAGGGTTTGGGAGGTAGATGAAAAGTATGTAAAGAAAGTAGAAAAATTATGTGCGTGAGGAAAAATTTATGACTTTTTCTTTCCTAAGCCACCTCAGGTGGCTATCCAGGTGGCTTGAAAGCCACCTAACTCCGAAAAAAGTTGAGCACGCATTTAGTTCACATAATTTTTTCATAATTTTTCATACTTAGTCCTAACTCCCCATTGCCCATCTACACACCTATTTTGGTGTCATTTCATCTTCAATTCGCTGTAAACAAACCCTTTGTTTATTTGCCGGCAGCCTGCCGGCCGCAAATCGAAAGACAACGTTATGTTCTTCCGCAAAAACGATATCCCCTTTGCTTTTTCCCTAAAAACGATATCCAGCTTGCTTGCTAAGCCACCTGTGCCGTGCCCTGAGTATGCCATTTGACGAGATTTTTTTTTCAAAAAAAAAATTGAAAAATCGTGTAGTGTAGTAGGGTTTTCGCGCACGCTGGTTCCATTACACAACTTTTTACGAGTGTTTCTATCTTTTTTGACGGTGTAGTCACATTTCCGACAAATGCTGGAAATTCATTGTTACGGTTTAGACGGGATAACCTTGGAAAGAAGCATCACAGTAAAGTGGAAACTTCATATTGGAAATCAGTGGCTTCCATTACCATAGTATAAAAGTTTTTGGCTTGTTTGGTCTTGTTCCGAGGAGAATATGGCCTCCAATGGCCTAAAATTCTGTCGAAGTTCCTACCGTAATCCTACAGTAATGAAGAGCGATCGAGGATTCGCTCCATACTGTAGATCTAAGTTGAATCTCGCTCTATAGAATGGTGTCTTAAACTCGGCGAAATACACGAAGCAAGGGAGTTATCAACAATCAAACCGTGTTCACATTTTTTGGGGCACTCTGTATGCTTTTTTCTGACGTTTGGTAATGACTCAACTTTTTTTTTCGAATTATCGCAACAAGTGTTAGATATCTTCTATACTTGACATCTCATCTGAATCGAGATTTGGCTCCTCGCAACCATGTTTTGGTATTGATGCTAGAGCTTCGACGAGGAACTCAACTACGTGTATCGGGGTTTTTTTTTTGAGTGGTTAATGGGTCTGCAAACTTGCAGTAGCATCAAACATCACTCCATCCCAGACTCGCTCAGAAAAACGTCAGAGTTATGAGTCATCCGAATAAGGATGTGCTCTGGATTTACTGACGAAATCAAAATTAGTTATACACTGAATCCGTGGAAGATCATGGGAGTTGATTAATTAGCGCAAAAAGATGCGAACTTGTGATGGTAATCTGCCCTAAGAAGACCCATCTCTTTTACAAAACTCTGTCACAAAAGGAAAATGTTCCTTTTAATAAGTTCTGAAGCAAGGCTGCAAAGCTTGCCGCTAAAAAGTAAAGACATCTCCACACTCTGCAAAGCATTACGCTGAATTCGTCAACGCTTATTATAGAAGCCTGCAGTTGTCGAGTTTTGCAGTTTTGCATTTATTTTTGGGATCCGCGAATGAGAAGAAAAAGTGGAACAAAAAAGGGCATTCACTGAAGCATGCGCAATGAACAGCATCTGCAGCAGGATTCGTTATTGGTGCAGACAACAATAAGCCTATGGTTCTGGTACACCTCATTGTCATTGTCAAACTTCTGCTGCGAAACACCAAGCATGACTGCCTAGAATGACTAAAAAAATTCCGCAAGCGCACTAAAAGTCGAAAGAAGTTGCGTTTAGGGGTCTTTACAATCTGATATAAGGTTTCCGCACTTATTCTATTACTTTTTACCCTGTTTCAAATGGGATTAGAATTATTGGCGTGAAATCGCACCGCCAGATGTTTGCGCCGCGTGTTCGCGCAAAACCCCGGATAGATAAAAGAAAATGCAGTCAATGTGATCCAACAGGAAGAGCTTAAGTTGATGCACAAGATAGGGACGTTACCGCCGCCTATGGTTTCCATAGGGGACTTCGTGCTCGGACCTACTGGGGCCTGGCAAAACGAAATGAAGTGGTGTAAGCCAAGGAAACACTTGGGCTGTGGACATCGTCTATGCAACAAAATTTGCATGCCTATTAAAGAATTTAAGTTATAGCAGTTTGGGAAAATTGTTGCAGTACCCGGTAATGTTCTTTACCGGGTACTGCAACATGTTCTTTACCGGGTACTGCAACATCTCAAAGTGGAGTAAAACCACTACAAAATAAGCATCATTCAAAGTGCATGGTTAGACAAGTGTGTCAAGAACTGACATCTCAAACCACTTTCTTTATGAAGTATGATTAATTAAAATAATTTGAAAATAAATCTAACATATGCAGATTAGAATAAAAGAATTCTTTCAGGAGAATCGTTTTTTGAAGATTCGCTCAGACGGGAAACTCATTTATGATAGAAGGTTTGTTTTTTGTCAAGCAAAACGTCGAAGTGTACTTGTGTAGCGTCGTGGCTCGAATTTTGTGAATCAAATTGTCTATCGTGAAAGTTCTTCTCCTTTGTGTGTGGCTCTGATGTCGCACCCTAAGACTCTCGACAATAGAGTTTTCCGCTATGCCATGATGCAATTAGACGGGGATCGAATCTCTCTTAACATTCGAGAGAAGCAATAGGAACATGCGGGGCTTGTAGTGAGGAAAGTGTGAAAATTTCAGATTAACACTTCACTTAGCATGCTCTATGCATTTGTCACGTTATCCGATGGACTCGCAGATATGCGAAATTGCCTTCGCGTCATGTAAGCAATGAAACCTTCTTGAACAGACATTTCAATATAATACTTAGATGCATACACTACTGATGACATAAAATACGAGTGGGATGCGGAGGCGATTCGAATTCATGACGGAGCCAATGGAGCTCTGCCTAATTTTGACATTGCTATGTTCACCAACAAGACTTGCCACTCCAAAACGAACACAGGTTTGTTACAAACGAAATGATACTTCGCGGCCATAAAATCTAATGGAAATCTAGGCACGGGAAAATTCGAAGAAAATTTGAACGCCGTGTTATGCCTAAAAGGGAGCCATGTCCAGTCGAAGTGCCCTTTTGAGATGGGATGTATATCATATCGGAGAGCATAAAACGCTGATACCAAAATTGCTTCCTTATTTGTATAACATTCATGGACAAAGACGAAAATTGTCATAATAAATGAAGCTGTGATGTTATCGGAGCACCTTATTCAGTGAATACTCTCAGATAAAAAATATATCACACTTGGTTGCATTCAAAAGCTGGGAAGATTTAAGCAACTCATTTCAACCTGAATGCGCATTTAATTTTTGCCAATAAACACTCATAACTCCTCCTCCTTGAACGTTCCGCAGATAAAAAAGGCAGATTTGAAATCAGCATTTTATGCTTTCCTTTATATCCTACATCTCATCTAAAAAGGCCACTTAATTTAATCTAAACTTATAACATAATAGGAGCGCGGTTGATGCATCCTTTCAATTGAGGATATAACGCGAAATTTTCAGGCATAAACATTAATATTTTGGAAAATTCGATGTCCAATAAATAGCTTGCAATGATTATCAAAAAGGAAAGTACTACATGTGAAAGCGATTCCTGGAGTATGGGTTCCAAGAGCGGAGTGCTTCTCAAAAATCTTTGCTATGACATGACGTCCGCTTTTTTGAAAAATTTTTTGCCTTTTCTTCCTCTCCATCTTCCTTTTGCTGCTAAAAAATATTATGCCTTTTCTTTGTCTCCATCTTCCATTTGCTATTAAGAAAAACCCTGCCACCATTTTAATTTCTCTAACATAGGCGGATAAGCCGACATGACATCTGCTTTATGTCGTGCGATTACAAACCGAAGTACTCGTTGTCTTAAAAAGGCCCTGAACAACTAACCACGAGAAGTTCTGTACTCTTCAGGAGAATATTCGTGCTTACGTGTGGAACTAAAGCTGAACCGCGTATTCTCGTTCTTCCTTCTGCAGCTGTACATTCCCTCGTCCATGTTGGTCGGTGTAGCTTGGGTATCTTACTGGATCGACTGGAAGAGTACAGCTGCTCGTGTGCCTTTAGCTATTGTGACTCTGCTCACAATGATTACAACCTCTCATGGTAAGTCTTACCTATTCATGTCTAAAAGTAATGATAACAAACCATATCTAGCAATTAATTCGAATTTGCCGCCTGTTTCATACGCAAAATCCATTGATATCTGGGTTGGTGCATGTGTAGGTAAGTCAACCAGTAGTATTTTAATCTCGAAATCTCGCTACATCACTTCGTTACAGTATTTATATTCTTCTCGTTGATTGAATACGCTGTGGTAAACTATATGGGAATACTGGACGAGCACAGGTAAAGAAGATAACTTTTGATGATTTTCTTTTTGTAAGAGATGATTTGTTTGTAGGCAAATGCGCAAAGCGGCTTGCAATCGTAGTAGGCTCTCAAATGTTATCGATAACCAGTACTACATGCAAATGACTGTTGACCAGATTAATTCGCCTACCTCTGTAGGATTTAGCCCACAAGAGAAAAAGGTGATTGCTTGTAACTGCGTTTCCAAATATTCGCAATCGTCTCCAATTCTAAAAACTTTGAATGAGTCGAATAATTTAGTGAGGTAAAACATGCTGTTTCTGAAGGTGATTGGAGCAGCTATAGTTGACATAATTGTCGCTAATAGCTGATAAAGCATAGTACTCCAAATCGAAATTTCAGATTGTCTGCAAAAAGAGCTCAAAGTCGAATAATTTACGGTATTGCCAGCAATAAAGATTTCACGACCTATTTCTCTAGAATCTGTTGTTTTCTAGCTCTTGAAAGGTTCCATTCTTATATTTCTTGATTGGTATTTCAGAAAAAATGCAATAAGCAGTATATGTGCAACAAAAATAAACATATCAAAACGTTTCGCAGATAAGTCATCACTCAAAACTTACCTATCCAAATATTTAGCGCAAGTTCTTCAAGCGGTACCAGGTTTTTGAGAATTTTCTGCGATTGCCACGTTCACGAATGTGTTGCATCCTTAAGGAATCTGCTTGAGCATTGGAAAGATGAAAAACTTCGGAAGCTGGATCATAAACCACAAGCATAATTACGTCACACAGTTTCAAAGACTAGACAGCATTTACTAGACTAGTAGCAGATAAAATCAATATATAAGGTAATAACTTTCTCGGATGAATGTGATCCATAAACGGTTGAGCAAAATTCAATAGAGCCAGCTTTAGCTTGGACATATGAGCAATCAGACTGATCCTCGTTATTGTAAATTAAGGAAGCAATTCGCGCATCAACTTTATTTTGATAGCTGCCACATCAGAAAAAACCACCGAAACATTCAAAAAGTTGATGTACGAAGGTTTTTACATAAGTTACGTTTATACATACTCATCTTACTGATGCACTTGAATCAGATCTGAGATGTGCGATTGACCTAATGATCAATATTCCTGTGCTTTGCCTGAAACTCTGGTTTAACTGAATGCTAAAAAAACCACTTAGAAATACTTATAGTCATCCTACAACAACGGATAGCCACCAAAGATTCAATTATGTTGTAATCTACAAAATGAGATTCGACTGTTCGCGATACACCTTGGAGTTAGAGAGCTAACAAGGACCAACAATGTAGACATACTTTTGTGACATACATGAGGAAAACCTTGTAAATTGAAATGGAAAGCCGTAATCGACCATTATGGTTTTGTAATAATTGCATTTATCTGAGACACAAGCTCATTAAAACGCTTTTCAGCGACTTCTGCGGCGAAGACGCAACAAGTCTTTCGAGCTAAGGGAGGAAGAAGCTGGTGAGTACGATGGAATAGAAATGGGAGACGTTGCACCACCCAGGACGGCAGGACATGTTGAGCAAGGGTGGACTTTTCAGGTTTGAATACATCTTATCTTTTATAAGCAGAGGTTAAAGGTTCGGCGTCTTCGATGCTGAGGACGCGCCAAATGCATTTTACTTCGTAGTCGAAGAGGCAGTTAAATGCGTGCGGGACTTTACAATGACTTGCGGGTGCTAGCAGGTTACTAAAAGTGGTGCTTTTATCCTCCCTGGTTACTCTGAGACCGAATTGCCATCCGCAGGGGAGAGATCCTTTGCCCCAAGCCGACATCGAAACTTCGTCAGACCCGTCGGCGCCCCATACTACTATGCTGCCAGTCCCCTTAACTTAACAAGAGAGACAACAACTCTTGTAGTCGGCACCTTAGGTGACAGTTGTTGTGCATAAAAGGACACATTACAGGTTAATGAATGGACTATTTCTCGAAATGCATGAACAAAGCTATAAATAATGCATGACAGATTGAACAAAGGGTATGGCACGAAATTATGCAACTCTTTTCACTTTCTCTTTTAGCACATGTATTTACAACCCCAGGACATTTAGCAGATGCGGAACAAAAAGCCATTCATCACATACTAAATGTTCTCAGGTCACAATCACCTAAATTTTGGTAATCACACCTGCAAAAATAATATCATGAAATATTAAATGTACAGCGAAGACTTCTGAGCTTGAAATGGCGTTCTCTGTGATACTCAAACCTTTAACCTCCCATCCAGTAGATACTTGTCAATTTCAAGTCATGCAGAGGTTTGTGGTGTTCAGCAAAAGTTTTGCTCCATGGGAGTATCGAACTCCCGACCTCGGCATTTCTCAGTCTTATAAGTACCACGCGCTAACCAACTGCGCCAATGGAGCACGAGTGAAGATCGAAGAAATTCGAACCGCAGTCCTCTAAGCTTGAAATGGGGTTCTTTGTGATACTCGAACCTTTAACCTCCCATCCAGTAGATATTTGTGAATTTCAAGTCATGCAGAGGTTTGTGGTATTCAGCAAAAGTTTTGCTCCATGGGAGGATCGAACTCCCGACCTCGGCATTTCTCAGTCTTATAAGTACCACGCGCTAACCAGCTGCGCCAATGGAGCACGAGTGAAAATCGGAGAAATTCGAACCGCAGTCCTTTGAGCTTGAAATGGCGTTCTTTGTGATACTCGAACCTTTAACCTCCCATCCAGTAGATATTTGTCAATTTCAAGTCATGCAGAGGTTTGTGGTATTCAGCAAAAGTTTTGCTCCATGGGAGGATCGAACTCCCGACCTCGGCATTTCTCAATCTTATAAGTACCACGCGCTAACCAGCTGCGCCAATGGAGCACGAGTGAAAGTCGGAGAAATTCGAACCGCAGTCATTTGAGCTTGAAATGGCGTTCTTTGTGATACTCGAACCTTTAACCTCCCATCCAGTCGACATTTGTCAATTTCAAGTCATGCAGAGGTTTGTGGTATTCAGCAAAAGTTTTGCTCCATGGGAGGATCGAACTCCTGACCTCGGCATTTCTCAGTATAAGTACCACGCGCTAACCAGCTGCGCCAATGGAGCACGAGTGAAAGTCGGAGAAATTCGAACCGCAGTCCTTTGAGCTTGAAATGGCGTTCTTTGTATACTCGAACCTTTAACCTCCCATCCAGTCGCTATTTCTCAATTTCAAGTCATGCAGAGGTTTGTGGTATTCAGCAAAAGTTTTGCTCCATGGGAGGATCGAACTCCCGACCTCGGCATTTCTCAATCTTATAAGTACCACGCGCTAACCAGCTGCGCCAATGGAGCAGGAGTGAAAGTCGGAGAAATTCGAACCGCAGTCCTTTGAGCTTGAAATGGCGTTCTTTGTGATACTCGAACCTTTAACCTCCCATCCAGTCGATATTTGTCAATTTCAAGTCATGCAGAGGTTTGTGGTATTCAGCAAAAGTTTTGCTCCATGGGAGGATCGAACTCCTGACCTCGGCATTTCTCAGTATAAGTACCACGCGCTAACCAGCTGCGCCAATGGAGCACGAGTGAAAGTCGGAGAAATTCGAACCGCAGTCCTTTGAGCTTGAAATGGCGTTCTTTGTGATACTCGAACCTTTAACCTCCCATCCAGTCGCTATTTCTCAATTTCAAGTCATGCAGAGGTTTGTGGTATTCAGCAAAAGTTTTGCTCCATGGGAGGATCGAACTCCCGACCTCGGCATTTCTCAATCTTATAAGTACCACGCGCTAACCAGCTGCGCCAATGGAGCAGGAGTGAAAGTCGGAGAAATTCGAACCGCAGTCCTTTGAGCTTGAAATGGCGTTCTTTGTGATACTCGAACCTTTAACCTCCCATCCAGTCGATATTTGTCAATTTCAAGTCATGCAGAGGTTTGTGGTATTCAGCAAAAGTTTTGCTCCATGGGAGGATCGAACTCCTGACCTCGGCATTTCTCAGTATAAGTACCACGCGCTAACCAGCTGCGCCAATGGAGCACGAGTGAAAGTCGGAGAAATTCGAACCGCAGTCCTTTGAGCTTGAAATGGCGTTCTTTGTGATACTCGAACCTTTAACCTCCCATCCAGTAGCTATTTCTCAATTTCAAGTCATGCAGAGGTTTGTGGTATTCAGCAAAAGTTTTGCTCCATGGGAGGATCGAACTCCTGACCTCGGCATTTCTCAGTATAAGTACCACGCGCTAACCAGCTGCGCCAATGGAGCACGAGTGAAAGTCGGAGAAATTCGAACCGCAGTCCTTTGAGCTTGAAATGGCGTTCTTTGTGATACTCGAACCTTTAACCTCCCATCCAGTCGATATTTGTCAATTTCAAGTCATGCAGAGGTTTGTGGTATTCAGCAAAAGTTTTGCTCCATGGGAGGATCGAACTCCTGACCTCGGCATTTCTCAGTATAAGTACCACGCGCTAACCAGCTGCGCCAATGGAGCACGAGTGAAAGTCGGAGAAATTCGAACCGCAGTCCTTTGAGCTTGAAATGGCGTTCTTTGTGATACTCGAACCTTTAACCTCCCATCCAGTCGCTATTTCTCAATTTCAAGTCATGCAGAGGTTTGTGGTATTCAGCAAAAGTTTTGCTCCATGGGAGGATCGAACTCCCGACCTCGGCATTTCTCAATCTTATAAGTACCACGCGCTAACCAGCTGCGCCAATGGAGCAGGAGTGAAAGTCGGAGAAATACGAACCGCAGTCCTTTGAGCTTGAAATGGCGTTCTTTGTGATACTCGAACCTTTAACCTCCCATCCAGTCGATATTTGTCAATTTCAAGTCATGCAGAGGTTTGTGGTATTCAGCAAAAGTTTTGCTCCATGGGAGGATCGAACTCCCGACCTCGGCATTTCTCAGTCTTATAAGTACCACGCGCTAACGAGCTGCGCCAATGGAGCACGAGTGAAAGTCGGAGAAATTCGAACCGCAGTCCTTTGAGCTTGAAATGGCGTTCTTTGTGATACTCGAACCTTTAACCTCCCATCCAGTCGATATTTGTCAATTTCAAGTCATGCAGAGGTTTGTGGTATTCAGCAAAAGTTTTGCTCCATGGGAGGATCGAACTCCCGACCTCGGCATTTCTCAGTCTTATAAGTACCACGCGCTAGCGAGCTGCGCCAATGGAGCACGAGTGAAAATCGGAGAAATTCGAACCGCAGTCCTTTGAGCTTGAAATGGCGTTCTTTGTGATACTCGAACCTTTAACCTCCCATCCAGTCGATATTTGTCAATTTCAAGTCATGCAGAGGTTTGTGATATTCAGCAAAAGTTTTGCTCCATGGGAGCATCGAACTCCCGACCTCGGCATTTCTCAGTCTTATAAGTACCACGCGCTAACCAGCTGCGCCAATGGAGCACGAGTGAAAATCGGAGAAATTCGAACCGCAGTCCTTTGAGCTTGAAATGGCGTTCTTTGTGATACTCGAACCTTTAACCTCCCATCCAGTCGATATTTGTCAATTTCAAGTCATGCAGAGGTTTGTGATATTCAGCAAAAGTTTTGCTCCATGGGAGGATCGAACTCCCGACCTCGGCATTTCTCAGTCTTATAAGTACCACGCGCTAACCAGCTGCGCCAATGGAGCACGAGTGAAAATCGGAGAAATTCGAACCGCAGTCCTTTGAGCTTGAAATGGCGTTCTTTGTGATACTCGAACCTTTAACCTCCCATCCAGTCGATATTTGTCAATTTCAAGTCATGCAGAGGTTTGTGATATTCAGCAAAAGTTTTGCTCCATGGGAGGATCGAACTCCCGACCTCGGCATTTCTCAGTCTTATAAGTACCACGCGCTAACCAGCAGCGCCAATGGAGCACGAGTGAAAATCGGAGAAATTCGAACCGCAGTCCTTTGAGCTTGAAATGGCGTTCTTTGTGATACACGAACCTTTAACCTCCCATCCAGTAGATATTTGTCAATTTCAAGTCATGCAGAGGTTTGTGGTATTCAGCAAAAGTTTTGCTCCATGGGAGGATCGAACTCCCGACCTCGGCATTTCTTAGTCTTATAAGTACCACGCGCTAACCAGCTGCGCCAATGGAGCACGAGTGAAAATCGGAGAAATTCGAACCGCAGTCCTTTGAGCTTGAAATGGCGTTCTTTGTGATACTCGAACCTTTAAGCTCCCATCCAGTAGATATTTGTCAATTTCAATTCATGCAGAGGTTTGTGGTATTCAGCATAAGTTTTGCTCCATGGGAGGATCGAACTCCCGACCTCGGCATTTCTCAGTCTTATAAGTACCACGCGCTAACCAGCTGCGCCAATGGAGCACGAGTGAAAATCGGAGAAATTCGAACCGCAGTCCTTTGAGCTTGAAATGGCGTTCTTTGTGATACTCGAACCTTTAACCTCCCATCCAGTCGATATTTGTCAATTTCAAGTCATGCAGAGGTTTGTGATATTCAGCAAAAGTTTTGCTCCATGGGAGGATCGAACTCCCGACCTCGGCATTTCTCAGTCTTATAAGTACCACGCGCTAACCAGCTGCGCCAATGGAGCACGAGTGAAAATCGGAGAAATTCGAACCGCAGTCCTTTGAGCTTGAAATGGCGTTCTTTGTGATACTC